TCAAAAAACTCAAGATTGCAGGCGAAATAAGGGATCGACTGGTGTACGAGATAATGCTAAATAACTCAAAAAGGGAAACCGTCCGGGTTTCTTTGGAAAACTGTAGAGCTGAGTCCAACCTCAAATAAAGGCAGGGCATAAAGAGACGCAAACTGAGGTCCGGGGAACCCCTTTACGAACTTGTTTTTTAAGGATCCATGGGGGTGGCTGTGTCAAATGCCCAAAAAGGTCAAAAATCACTAAAGATTATGGCGCAATAAACATGGAGCAAAAAATGCTTTTCCCAACAAACCCTAATTACGTTCAGTAAGTTATAGACGTTTTTGTTCACTCTCAAAGGTCACCGGGTGAACCGGGGCCACCAGATGAATTATCGGTGATCCTGTGATGTCAAGGACACCCCAATATGTCATGCAATACCCCTTTCTGCAGATGGCAAAAGGTGCTGCGGGCAAAAGTATCCTGAGTACTGCAGACGGGGAAACACCCTCGTATAATTTTAGCTGCATTTAACCCCAAGGCTGAAAGGGGAAAAATCGGGATGGTCAGCAGAGGAAGGAGTGGCGGGTACCAGGAAAAAAAGTGTGGGCCTTGTGGGTCTATCATTTAGGCCAGGATGCAGGAGTGGCCCAGGGGAAAGTTAAGTCCAAACAGTTTTTTTCCCCGAAATTCTCGCCCTGATGATCACCAGATCGTTTTAATGAATTTTGAACTCCTCCCAAAAACATTCTCTTAGACCGTAAGTTTACTATGCATCGCACGGGTTCAGTCTTTCCTAAAGGCCTTTAAAAATATCTAGCTTTCACACATAAATTTACCCCCTAGGAGAGAATTGGACGTCTATCGCCGCTTATTTCCGGCTCCCTGGGGAAAATACCAAAGGGTGCAAAACTGTATGTTCTGTAATGGAGGGAAGAAAGGGGGGGTTTTTAGCAAAGAAAAGGGAAAATTCTTGTGCGGACAGCCTGGCATTGATCCACAACATCAGCACGGGAAGGGAGGGGGAGGCATCACTGCCTTCCGTGGCTAGAAAGATACTTAAAATGTTGAATTTGTAACAACCTAAAAGCATGCTGAAAAGGTAAAGACGGACTGCTCGAGAGAGGGGAAAGCTTTATTTTAAGGCACAGGTAGTGAGCAACTTTGGATTTTTTCCCCAGGCGATGCGGCAATGGGGAATAACGGCAGACGAGGCGGATCGCCCCGCTGGTGGTGAATTTCACACAAAGCAATAGGCAGGCCCCTTTTGGGGAAAAGAAAGAAGCAGAAGAAAAACTAAAGATGCACCGGGGTGTGCCCCGGAGGGTACCCCCAAAATACCTCAGGGGAAAAGGCAAGAGGGGACACAAAACAAACTTGACTGACCATTATTTTTGAACGGCGGATTGGGATCAGAGGAGCACCTACGGGGAATCCCCGAGTGCTGTGTTTAATTTTTAAACTTAACTCCCGTCCCCCAAAGGAGCTCCCAAAAATGAGAGCTAATAGACGGTGCTTTTTCTACTGGGTCACCCAAGGAATCTCACGGCCTCATGATGTTTAAACCCCACTTTGTATAGGGGCCCCTTTTTATCACGGGGGTAACTAAGGCCCCCAAAAAAGGGGACATCAACCTGGATTTAGATTACCACACGATGATTTCAATGTTCTTTGCATGTTAGACTTTTATTGCAACAGTTTTTTTCCAATCATTTCTTACTTACGGGCTTCAGTGTGACAATACGACAGTGGGTTTTTTTAATATTTTCCCCCTTTTGGTTTTTGAAATCTGCTCCTAGGGGAAACCCGCTCTGAGGTCCCTGAGGTTTTTTTTTTCTTCTTACCCTTTTAGATGTTAACCCGAAAACCAACTCACCAGCTGTCTGTTTTTTTTTAAAAAAAGTTTTTCAGGAGGGGTGGAGCCTCTCTTTTAGGGGGTCCGAGTGCTTTTTTGTTATTAAAATTTCCCCTTTTTTTTAGGGCTCTGTGAAAAACAAACCAAGGGCCATGTTGACAGGCATACTCTTCATTATCTCCATTCTTTCCTTTCAGATCAGGTTCACTTACTTAGTCGCTCCTCTTCTACCTTGGGGTGTAGAGGTTTGCCAGAGAGATCGCCAGACGTCTCTATCAGCAGTTTTCTTTCTGGCTTTGTTCCATTCCAGTCCTCTGTCAGTCAGGGACTGTCGGATGTTGTCTTCCCAGCGCACCCTGGGTCGTCCCGGAGGTCTGGTTCCCTGGTTCTTAGCCTCCCATGCTTGCCATGGTGGCCGATTTTCTCCCATTCTGCACACATGTCCAAACCATCGTAACTGCGACTGATCCACTCGGGTTAGTAAGGGCTGGGTATCAAGATCTTGACGTATTGTCTGATTGCGGACTTGTCACTTGGACCACCTTTCTCAGGTATCTCATTTCCGAGGCCTGCAGCTGGCTTCTGTGAGCTGTTGTCATTGCCCATGACTCACACCCATAGGTCAGGACTGGTACATAGGTAGAGCGGTAAACAGCCATTTTCGTTCTCTTGCCAATTTCTCTTTTGCTAAGAAACCCTCGGTTTATGGCCTGGAAGAGTCTCCCAGCAGCTGCTTTTCGTGTAGCCAGCTCAGTCTTAATGCCTCCATTTTGGTCTAATACAACTCCAAGGTATTTGAACTGGTTAACCTGCTCCAACGCATACTGACCCATCATGATCTGGTGTTTCTTCTCCTCTCTTGAGATCACCATGGTTTTAGTTTTGGAGACACTGATGGTCATCCCTTTCTTTTCAAGCTCTTCCTTCCAGACAAGTAAGTTGGACTGAAGGTGTGCCTCTGATTTAGCTATCAGGGCCACATCGTCTGCAAAAGCCAGCTCTGATATACAGATTGGTCTCATCTTCCAGTACCCTACAGAGTACTTCTTTGTCTTCTCCTTACAGGTCTTGATGACATCATCCATCATAAGAATGAAAGAGGTAAGGTGAGAGAATATCACCTTGTCTAACACCGCTGGTGGTCTTAAATTCTTCTGACTTTTGGTCTGCTGTTCTTACATAATTTCTGCACTTTTTGTAGAAACTCTGTATTGCACTGATCAGGGGTGCTGGGATGTTTTTCCCTGCCAAGCAGTCCCAGAGCTTGTTCCAGGGTACCTTGTCAAATGCCTTTTCCAGATCCAAAAAACATAAGTGAATCTCACTCTTATATTCCAGGGCTTTTTCACTCATCTGTCTCAGTGTGAAGATAAGGTCTTGAGTACTTCGGTTTGCTCTGAAGCCGCACAGGTTCAGCTGGTGAATATTCACACATGTCAGTCTCAGATTCCAAATCTGCAAGGGTTGCATTCTGCTCTGTTTTTGATGTGCCCGATTGCCAGAGCTCTTTGTGGGGCAGTATCTTGCGAGAATGTCGCCACACAACTTCTGCATTTGCCTTGAAAAAAGATAGTATGAACACTGTGTTGTGGTTTACAGCTAGGCTGGGTATGATAGAATCACTAATGTAAAGCTTTGGGAGAGAGTTCCAGTGGTCCAAGAGGTGAAGAAAAGACAGTGGGGTTGGATAGGACACACGCTGAGAAAACCTGGGAACAACATAACTAGAATGTCTTTGAGTTGAAACCCCCAGGGATATACAGAAATAAAGGAAGACCCAAAAATCATGAAGAAGGGAGCTAGACAGTGAAGTTAAAAAGATGGGGAGGACATGGGGAGAGCTGCATGTAAAAGCAAAAGATAGGACAACTTGGCATGAGTTGGTTGAGGGCCTATACTCCCTTGGGGGTCAGAAAGGCAGAAGAAGGAGATAAATGAAATACTTAACATTTAATAAATAAGGTAATGAGTTCAACTGATACATACCAGCCAGCCCTCCTTGATGTCTCTTTTCAATAATCTCTGTCACAGACAAGGTGGTAAATGGATTCACAGATAGCCTCCTTCTCTTCTTATTTTCTGGACCCTCAGCTTCGTCGTCTGTGTCCCCTGCAGCAATCAAATCGGTCAAGTCAAATTAAATCGGTCAAGTCAAATCAAATCAGTCAAGTCAATCAGGTCAAATCAGTCAAGTCAAATCAAAAAAGTCAAGTCAGGTCAAATCAGCCAAGTCAAGTCAGATCAAATCAGTCAAGTCAGGTCAAATCAGCCAAGTCAAGTCAGATCAAATCAGTCAAGTCATATCAAATCAGCCGAGTCAAGTCATATAAAATCAGTCAAGTCAGTCAGGTCAAATCATATCAAACCAGTCAAGTCATGTCAAATCAGTTAAGTCAAGCTTTATGCGGTGGAGAAGGAGGAGGAAGCAGAGAAAATGGAACAGGGGCAGGAGCAGGACAAGAAGCAGAACAACATTAACAACAACAAGAAATCTGACTGTCTTCCACTATAACAAATTCTTCTTCTCTAGGAACCTCATTCAAAAAAGCTTTTGGTTAGCTCTATTGTGGTTTACAGCTAAGCTCTAATAGCAGCTTCTGACCAATAATATTGACTTTCTGGCCTAATTAGTCGCTGTTTACATTATGCCTGTTAGGATGCAGTGGGTCAATACGTTATGCCTGTTAGGATGCAGTGGGTCAATTCTTTCCCCCTCATAGTATTATCCATTATGTGTCTATTTTTTTTATTAATTCTAACGTCTTTATTCCACCTCTTTTGCTGATAAAATATAGAAAGGCTTTTTTTTGTTTTTTTTTTACAAAATTAGCACATCAAGTATAAGATGCTAGACTCTGGAAAGGCTAATCTTTTTCTTTGCCTTACAACATGCCATGATCTGTAATTTATGTAAGCTTCTCTCCAGTTCAAATTCTTAGATTGTGGTAAGACTGTCTTTGGTATTAAAGCTCTGAGGCAGATGGGGGTGACATGAGGTTTCCTGTAGCCTTCCCAAGCTCAGATGGTGTTTTTTTTTTTATATTTAAATTTCATAGTTGATGATGTCTTGTTTAGAGCGTAAGATGGCTTGGAGGACTAATTTTACCCATGTGAAAAGGACAGCTTTTTATTTACTTAAACTGGAGTACTAGGAGTTTGCTGTTTTAAGCAGGACTGCTGCTTCTGCTCTGAAGTCGGTGCAAGCTTCCCATGATGATACTGAGTGTGTCTCAGCTGCAATTAGTATATGTAATGTAGATTCGCTCAGCCTCTTTTTGAGACTTCTTTACCAAAAGTGTCAGTGCACATACGTGTCAAACTGTTGGAGAGATACTGATTTCTGAGTATATATGTTTTATTAACTGAACAGTCAGATACACTATTTAAATCATTTCTACGTAAACTCTCTTATTCAATAATACATGCTGTGAGTAACTGCAGCTTGAGTAAGTTTCAGCTCAAGTCATCTTTCCACTCGGTGTCGAAGTATGAGAATTTTAAAACAGAACTCAAGAATAACATATTCTTTAATGAGAAGGATATTTTTTTTTAATTACTCAATCACCCGAAGGTGCCTCCACCTTGCCGTGGTGGGGAAGCTTGTGTTTCTCAACGAGCCTGAAAGCTATGATGGCGGTAGCGTAGCTACCAGCAGGGCCTCCCAAGCTGGAAAGGTCGAAGATTAGAGAACAGACAAAGAGAGACACCCTGGTCCTACAGTTTGGGGGTTGAATCGTGGGGATTTACACCCCCACATTCGTGAAACTTTATTTTGCCACGAAACAGATTTCTAAGCCTCGATTTTGGATGGATTTAAATGGACAATGAACTTGGAACGTTAAAGGACTTTTAAGATTTGAAACATGGATGATGGAGAGACAATGTCCAGACAGACCTGCAAACACTTTGTGTCACCAACTGGAAAGAGAAGGCCAACCAGAGAGATAAATGGAGTCAGGTGAAGAAGAAGAAGAATCACTGAGATTTTAATATTCTACACTACAGCAGAAAGGTACAAACAGTTTATCTAAATGGTATCTTTCTCTCTCTACCGTGGTTTTTTTTGTCGCATTCAAGCTTCCGAGCTGCATCTGAGGCTGCCACCGCCCCAGCGGGAGAGGGGGCAGCACCCACTTTGGGAAAGACTGGTATCAACTAATCAGCACCCTACAGGAGATATTGTCAACATCATGCCAGCCCCCCTTTACTTTCTAAATCACTGCCTGGTACTAATTTTAGCCTGAGCTGACCAGATTCTGGATCCAAACCCAAGACCCTGGGGCCAGCCGGCAAGCCACTATGATTCTCTCCTTTCTTCTGATAGTGCCCAAAAATGTAAATGGTCATTCTGCATGGTTTTTCTTCTCAGTGCTCACTGACTGTAAACTCTGGCAGAAAGTTATGATTGTTCGCCCACTCCTGGGCTTTTGGTTTTGATCCAAAACTTGAGTTTTGTGTGCACATCCATTAAACAGATCTACTGGTTCATTGCCTCTCAGAAATATGTACTCCAACTTGAATGGAAACACCCCTAATAAGCTTACCCTCCTAGAATATTCTTGTCTGTGGAAAATGGGTGGGACCTGGGGGGGGGGGGAGGAGAGGAGTGGGTCTATTCTTTGTTCTCCAAAATGAGCTTTGGAACACACACAGGGATATAGGGTTCTGACAGGTGATTTTTTTTTTTTTTTTTTAAACTATCAGTATATTAGCAAATACTACCTTTTCAGACTGATATTTTCAAATGTCATCTCTATAACCACATCTTCATTGGCTCAGTGAGGCAAGCAATTTAACCACTTAACGGGGGCTGCCAGAGGTGTGCCAAATGACTGCACAGTATGAAACACACAAAAACATGAACAAGTGCCAACCTGTATGACCGCCTAATATTTCAAGCTTATCTTCTTGGCTGAAGTAGGACTGTGGAGGGACCAAATTTAGCAGCGCCTTGAAATGCAAATTATCCCTCTTCACCTGTTGGATTATGAGGTCCTCATTGTCTGAATCTGCCATGACAACCATGGGTGAAGTGTCTGCTTTAGCACAAGTTTTGTTGTTCTTTCTTATAATTTCTTACCAAGCAGAGATTCAAAACACTTGTTACTAGATGAATATCATGCTTTAGCAAAAACTGCTACCTGAAGAAGAAAGAGGAAAAATCCATAATTTATTAAATTAATCAAATTCCTTGTGTCAGTCTGTGGCTAAACTCACTTTAAAATATTGTGAATAGGTGACTGAGTTGCAGTGGTTTCGAAAGAACATTAATGGAGAGAATAGTTATGTGGGCAGTCAGAGGAAAAGCAAGAAATAGTTCTGTAGGCAGTCAGAGGAAAGGCAAGAAATAGTTCTGTGGGCAGTCAGAGGAAAGGCAAGAAATAGTTCTGTGGGCAGTCAGAGGAAAGGCAAGAATTAGTTCTGTAGGCAGTCAGAGGAAAGGCAAGAAATAGTTCTGTAGGCAGTCAGAGGAAAGGCAAGAAATAGTTCTGTGGGCAGTCAGAGGAAAGGCAAGAAATTGTTCTGTGGGCAGTCAGAGGAAAGGCAAGAAATTGTTCTGTGGGCAGTCAGAGGAAAGGCAAGAAATAGTTCTGTGGGCAGTCAGAGGAAAGGCAAGACTGGTAAACAATTGAGCTGCAACTGGTAACATCAGAATTGGAACTCTTCACTGGAGGAGGTCAATGCAGCTTTCTGAATCAGAGGATCTGGTCAGCTGACTACATTCAGAAGAAACTCATATATGTAACCAACTACGACCAGTACCATTAGTATTGGTACTCTGCGCTTGCTGCTGAAAATGGGGATGGAGTGCATCTGGGATTGCTCCCGAGTGCTGTGATATCAATTCTTGACTCAACTGGCTGCTGAAGATGAGAACAGAGCATATATGGAAATGTCAAGAGTGCTGTCATGATGTCACAGGGTGACTCAACTCTGCACAACATGTCAACACAGTTTTGGGAAGGGGCAGGGACCAAACAGCATGACGGTCAAAAACAGATATCAAGATCACCCCAGACAAGAAATTTCATGAGGTAGAAAAGTTGACAAGGAACTGGGTCACTTTACAGCATACCATAATAAAAACAACATTTGATTCTGCAAAGTTAGCATCCAGTTTTGTAAGTACCATTTAATTCCTCTTCTTCTACATTTTTCTTTTGTTTTTTAGTCCTGTTGTGCCTTTCATCGTTAGGTTTTAAAGAGACATCAGGAGCTGGCCTTGGTATGGGCTACAACTGTTGGTATTCACGGCCTTGGATATTCCTTTATACATTGCTTATATGAATAGACCTCTAAAAAGTAAAGTGAGGGACCCTTTTCCATGCCTTTCAGGCGAATTGGGTATATAGGGCTAGACCTATATTTTATAGACCGACTGCACAAGATGGGTGATGTGGTCAGCATCACGTCAGCTGCCTTTGCTTTCCAGGACTGCACCTCACTGCATTTTTCAAATGGATGCATTATGTTCCCTAGGATACTTGAAGTCTTTTGCTTGAAAGAGTTGGTTTTCTATGCATATACTGATGATTGGTTCTGTTCTTGCAATGGGCCTAACATCCATGTGATATTTTTTTTCAATATTAATTTTTATGTTGTACTTTTCCTGCTGTGATACTGAGACTCTGCAGCTCTCCCTCTGTAGTTACAGGACAGGACTTACGTCATCTGCAAAAAGTAGTTCCATGTTATGTTTTACTGTATCCATTTTTGGAATGCTTTACTGATTTTATCTATATAAAAATATAATTAATATATCATTCTCAAAATTCTACTGACTCTACTGTGGTAGGGTATATTTAGTTAATATAAATTTCGGCTTTCCTCCGAATAACGGTCGGTGAAGATGGTGGCCACAAAATATCCTTTGAGCCACAGCCATGTGTCAACTGCGCACTTCCGGCGACTTAATTTGCGGTTTTCCGGCAACTACCGCTACGAGTCTCCCACGCAGCGTGGATAGTGGCTAAACAAGATGGCTAGGACCCACGAGCAGCAGCTTCCGCATCTCCTGAAGCTTTGCTCGTGAGTCCTAGCCATCTAGTTCAGATCCATTCCAAGCCGCGTGAGCGGCATGGGGGACTCATGGCGGTGGCGGTAGTCACCTGAAAACCGCCGGAGAACCACAAATTAAGTCACGTGACTGGCTCGAAAGGATATTTTGCAGCCGCCATCTTTACCGACCGTTATTCAGAGGATAGCCTAAATTTCTATACCTATGGTGCCATTTTAATGGTTTGAAATTAATTCTGTCCGTATTCCATAGTTGTGGATTTCAAGCTGTACAACAGACATGGCCAAAAAGACACCTTTTTGGGGGGTGCCTAGTTGACCATGTTCTCAGTGCACTTGTTTCCATAGTGAGGCGCACACACCATCTTAGTCTGGGGGTGACAGGTTTGATTCCCGATTCCCGGCACGGTAACTATAGCTATGCTATAGCTTTTGATTTTTATGATGTCTAGTGTGTTCTGCTATCTTTCTACTTCTTTACTATGATTGCCGATCAATACATTTGTTTCTGTTACTTTATTAATATACAGTGTGTATCTATTTAGACAAGACAATAATAAGCTATTAGTACTATTACTAAGTTTTTAAAGTACTAGTACTAACTCAATATATTAATTTATTATTCATTATTATTTACTTTTGTCTGCTTCTCCCGTCGCCCTTGTGACACCAGGTGATCTCAGTAACTAGAAATCTGCAAATACTATACGTCTGATGCGAGTAAATGTGCAGAAACAAATTTTAGCATTTGTATTTTACTATTTATTTTTATTCCGTTAAATTATACAATAAAATTAAAATATTTAATAACACATGTGCTTTTTTTTTTATTTTTATTTTGAAGCAAGTCAAAGAAGTTTGTAGTTTGTGAAACAAGCGTATCAACGTTTAAAACCAAATCAACAATGAAGTAAATTTATTAGTTTTAAAATAAAACACACAGAGCAACGACAAAAAAGGTGTACGGAGGTTTACAATCAATGATTTACCAGACAATTTGATGTAAGATTTCTTACAAAATATTCCTGACGGCAGGTTTTCTGTAAACGTTGTGAGAGTTAACTCCCCTTTTCTTGCAAGATATTATTCGCAATTTTGAGATGTTTTGTTTCGCATTCGCTCTTTAAAAAAAAAAAAACGGGTAGGCACTATTTTATCAACAGCAAGGTTGTGATATTTGCACTTTATGTCGCAATACTTTTTGTTTTAACAAACCTTTTTTTGAATCAGCAGGTGCGCCGCGACAGAGAAAACATTTGATGGGGTCGGAGGTACACAGCTTCCCCCCTCTATTAATTTCAATAGCTTTTAGGAGCTAGGGGCGGGCTCAAGTCTTGCTTAATTATTATAACAGTAAAGCTGTCACTACTGTCTGTATTTAGGGCGGTGTAGACAGAGGGTCGTGAGCTTGAGGTTTTAGGATGCAGGCTAGTGCTGTCACCACTAATTGTGCAGCTTAAAACATCCCCCCCCCCCCCCAAAAAAAAAATTCAATCGCCTTACCGGAGGTTGACTCGGCCAGCCACTCCTCTATTATTACTATTACAAATGAAACCAGGCTAAAGCCCTTTAAGCCCCCGCACCTTGAAAATAAATGGGGTTGGGGGGGGCAAAGGTCGAAACTCCAGTCACAATCTTTGTTTCTTAATGAGTTTAACGAGGTGCATTGTCAACAACAAACAAACTTATTTTTAAATCTCTTTATTTCACTGTTTTTTTTTTTTTTTTTTTTCAACAGTTCTCAAACATCTTATTTTACAGTAGGTTAGTTTTCTACACGGCCAGCTCCAGATTTATACTGGAGCTGGCCGTGGTTTTCTATAGTGTTCTTTAGTCCATGACCGAATCTGACACTGGAAACCCAAACGCTGAATGTTGAATTAAGAATCGACATCACAGCACTCAGGACACTCCAGATGCGCTCTGTCCCCATTTTCAGTAGCAAGCAAAGAATTCCAATTCCGATGGTACAAGTAACTGGCTGATTAGTACATCCGTCTCGCCTTTCCACTGAGCTTTGAACGTCGGCCACATCCCCTAGTAACTCCCCACATTTTCTTCAGACTGTAATGAAAACTGGAAAACCCAAAGAACAACCATCACAAACAGACAGAAAAAATATTCCTTATGGATGGTTAGTTAGTTGTGTATCCTTTACAGGACATTGCAGAACCAACCCCAGCATTTGTGTGTGCGTGGTTTTTCTAGGCAAATTTACGTCCAGTAGCTTGTCTCTTTCTTCTGGAAGGTCGGCTTCTCGATACCACTATCAAAACCAAAGCAAAACAAACCGTCCGCCGCTGGGATCGAACCCTGCACCTCGATTTTTTTGAAGCGCGTTCGCAACGCCTAAGCCGCAGACGCCATGGTAGATTAGCAATTTTTTTTTCTTCTCTTGTGCACTGGTATCATAAAGGCTTCGTGTCCATATTACCTCATTTAATTTGCAAATTTGGGTGTCATATTTTGATATGGAATATTATAATTGGCAGAAATACGCAGTGGTAAGTAAAGCAGGTTGTCGGGGATTTTGTTGTTTTTAGCACATTTTACATGTCTTGTGTATTTTTATTTTTTTTTAAATAAGAGATAAGTAATGTAGCTAATGTCACGCCTCCTTTACTTTCCATAACATTTCCTGGTACTCATTTTTAGGTTTGTTGACCTGGGAGCCCAGGTTAATTAAAAAAACAAAAAACAAAAAACAGCCTAGATGGAGAAAACAAAAGATGATAACAGAGCCGATAAGCAGGATGTAAGCCAATTGGTTAACCCGGTTTCCGCGAAGTTAACATGAGTTTACAAATAGAGGTTGCAGTCGTACGAGAGCCAACAATGCAGATATTCAGAGGAGTAGGAGAAGGAGAAATAAAAGACGAAGGGTAAGAGGAGGAAGTTGATGAGAGCAGTAGCAGCAACAGACAGACAGACATACAGCCGCAGCAGAGGAAGAAGAGGAAGAAGAAGAATATTACGATGAGTTGGGAGAGGAAGAGTGCCCTTCAGTA